CAAAAACATTATTCAGGCAAAAGCACCCCCCCAAGATTTAAAATGCAAGAAATAAGGGGCAAAAAAGAGTATACACACATGTAAAATAGTCCTAAAGAACATCAGCACTGTGCAGTATGCTAAAAATTAAACTACAACATTAAATCAGAGGTTAGGGCAAAAGCGACGGAAATGGATTATGGTATTTTAATTTCCCCAAGTAAGTATTATTGTAATTTCTGGGTTATCTCCTGAAAGATTAAAAGCAAAATATCTTACCTTCCAGAGTATAAGGGGAAAAGCAATCAAACCTTTTCTAATCAACTTAAACAGAAAAACACACACTCTCAGATTTAATTCTAATCATTTCAAAGTAAAATACAATCCTAATTTTGAAGAAGGTGGAAATGTACTAACATCAAGAAAAAAAGATTAAGGAAAGGCATTACTACAGATGAAAAAGTCACTCACAATAACATTTATTTTCAGTGTATGTAATCCAGGGATCTCAATGGAAAGACTCAGGAGTAACATGACTGGTGGTAAATCTTCAATTGACACTTTAAAATCTCTCACCCAAAAGAAATTAAATCAGATTATAGCCAGATTTGTGGTCATGTAACAGCTGGATGTCAAGAGGTGCTATAAAATTAACTTCTTACCATCACAGTAAACTTGATTCCATTAAGTTCTCCACCAAAGTGGAAACCAAAATTTAAAATCTGACTTCCAAAACCCTTACTCAGTCTACTAGTCCAAATACCAAGGCTAATAACTTACTGCTACACAGATTATACAGTAACTAGTTATTTCTTTACCAAAAAAAGTTATCACTTCATTATGAAGTATATCATTAAAAATTACATCTTTAAATCAAGAATCCAAAGAACATGTAATAACCCAGAAAAAACAATTCAACCACATAGAACATATATATAGATATATGTATGGATGTATATGTGTGTGTGTGTGCGCGCGCGCTCACATATAGTGGGCAAACATAAGGCTAAGGAGTCATCACCTAATAACATGTTAACAAATTCCCTGCTGAAAATCCCAAGCCTAGGTATTGTGGCTTTTTCTTGGAGCAGTGAGTAGAACCCAAAGAAGAATGCTTATGAATTAATTCTACACTGAAGAATAGCATAGTAGGAGTTTAAGTCAAGGAAACTTCCTTCAAAAACCAATACAAAATCTTTACCATAAATCAAGATTATGTAACCACTGGTTAAGTCCTTTAACCGTTATACACCTCGGTTTCCTCATTAAAATGCTGGTATCACCTACCTCCAGAAGCAGTAAATACATTAATATACTTAAAATAATTTAAAGCATTCGGCCCTCCCTGGTGGCGCAGCGGGCTAAGGCACAGAACTGAGAATCTGAAGCCACTTCCGCATGAGTTCGATCCCCGCCTGCCCCGGAGGTGACCACATGGCGCGGCAGACCTCTCCTGACCCGCCCGCTGCTCCCCTCAGCAGTGTACTTCGTTGATCTGCCTGTTCTGCACCCCACTCTGTCTCTGGTGAATCCTCTCACCCTCAGCATCTCTGGCCTGTACCCCAGTTCTGTATGAATAAATAAATAAATCCTTAAAAAAAAAAAAAAAAAAAAAAATAATTTAAAGCATTCATTGAATAATCGCCCAGTAAATGCTGACATGTATTCTTTCTTTTTTAGGCCGCAAAGCAAGAGATTTATTGATAGATGATAAGACAGGAAAGCTCTCTGAACAGCGAGGGGTCCCAAATAGGTAGCCCTAAATGCTGATTTGTATTTTTGTGCTCCTGTGCACTCATTACCTTAGAAAATAACCAAGTTCTTCAAAATTAGTCTCCTTTCCCAATAAAATTCAAAATGTACACACAAGAATAACTAGCAAAATGTAATAAAAACAGGCAGAGTTGGTAATCAGAAAGTTCTGAAGCCACCTTATGTGGCAAGCCCAGTAATATGATCTAGATGTCAGCTGTCACTGTAAAAAAACTTACAAAAGATGGGTAAAAGCAACAATGCTCACCCTCTAACACTGCCCACAAGAACTTAAATGAAATCAGTATGAAATGAGACTTGCTACACCATTTATTAGGTTCCTTCATGTAAGCAAATTAAACTACTCTATCCCTCACTTCTTTCTTATCACTCATCACAACCCAACATTGTACAATTTGCCCAGTTTGCTCATGACATAAGATAAACATTCCAAACAGGTGATAAAGTAGATATTCTAAGAGTCAACTGAGGAAACAATTACAATTTTGGATTAGACTTGAGGATCTGAAAAAAAAAAAAAAAAAAAAAACCTAGTTTACTAAACCGATCAGGATGCATTCTAATCCTTTCATTAATATTTCAAATCTATAACCAAACAAAATATAAACAAAGCGTAGTGTTTTATTTTGAAATCTTCATATCTTTAAGAGTGAAACAGAACTTGCCTCTTTTAGCCCACTTTCCTACAAAAGGACTGTTTTGAATATATTTTGGGACATTAATAAATGTGTCACCTGACAACAATATAGGGAAATTAAGTAATAAAATGAGCAATTGCTCCTTTCAGCTGGAACTGTTATCTTCCAGTAAATAGTCAAAATGACCAACACAAAGGTGAAGGAAAGGCACCCACTATATATAGTTCTCCGCACCTTTTACAAAACATGAAGTTGTTCCTTTAGCTACATACATGTCAGTCTACAAAATGATGTTGCAAACATCAAGGGAACAAACACTATTCAAAAAGAAAGGCCCTACAAATGTTACCATGACAAAACCAGAAGTGTCTGTACTGTAACGGAGGAGTATTCTGGCAAACATATTATTGAGCATATTAAAGACTGTAAGAGTTGAGTTACCTTTCTGAAAGGTATAAAATAAAATAATCAGAAAAAATAAGGAAGCCAAAGAAAAAGGTACTTGCTTGGGTTAAGCCAAAGCACCAGCCTGCTCTACCCAGAGAGGGACTTTGTGAAAACCCACAGAAAGGAGCCCAAGCTGGTAGAACTCATTCCCCTATTAATTCAAAGCAAGTAGGATGGGAAAGGGGAAAAACAACCCACCAGAATAGCATTTTGGATTAAATTAACTCTGGTACAGGGTTTATTTATTTTTTTAATCTCTAATGGCAAGCACAGTCACATGCCACATTAATATTAGTTCAATAATTTACTGCCAATAGGTCCAATACCAAAAACTGGTACTTTGGAACAGATAAATTTTACAAGAATTTTCAAACTGATATGGTAAAATTAATAAATCCTATGTTATCAAATTGCTGGAAAGCATATCTATTAAGTCGAGGTTTTAGAATAATAAAAGATGTCCAAGTTGACTTCCAACTATCTTTCAGGGGTGATTAGAATTTAAAGGAAAACACATTTTCGATTTGGGCCATCTATCTAAAATCAGACCACTTCTAATAATTCAGACAGTATTTCCCGAAATTCCTTTACCACCTGTTCCTATTCATGTTAAGTCTATATCCAATTAAAGATAGTATCTATTACTTCCTAACAAGTATAGGAATATTAATTTTAACATAAAAGAGGATGTATACATCAGTGTGAAAAGACGTTTTACACCCTTCCTGAAAAAGGCAAGCAGTGTTATGTCGTGAACCTTCTGAAGCGCAGTCTTTACCAACCAGTGAGTCAGTCTAAAATAGGGGCACCTTGAAAAGATCCTGCGCCTAGCTCTTTTCCTACTCTAAAAGACCACCGCTCCCAAGTAGGGCTTAATTTCCTTCTGCTTATTTTCTTCCCCTTAGGGAGAAGTGGGGGCATTAACCAAGCAGTAGGCTACCTTGACTAAGTCCACACTAAAGCTTCATTCCACCCCATACTCCTCTTCCCCCACCCGACTCCAATCATCTTAAAAACAAGAAAGCTTAAGTATTTTCTGGGAACCTCAGAATTTGTAAGAAAGCATTCCAAGTCCTAAAATAATGAAAGACAATGCAGGTAAAATCATTTTCCACCCTATACCAGTATAGAGGATTCCATCAGGATGAATTGTCCCCCCAAAAAAAGCCGGTTGAGATATCCATCCTAATCCTAACTGCCCTTAAGACACACAATCTTTTGCTAATAGCAGCTAACATGGGCGCTTTTCACGCCATTCATTCTTTAATATTCTCCCAGTGCCTCACCATCCATGATGACCTAACACTGATCCTTTCCCCTAATAAAAATACTGACCAAGAAGAAGCAGAAGACAGTTTGGAAATGCAGGGGCTAAACTATCTGCTCACTGTTTCAGCTTCGCGTCCCACCATCTCCACTTTCAGTTAAGGACAAAACGGGGTGGGGAGGGGTCTCCAATCTGGGACTGGGGGCGGCCACGTGTCGAGGGAAGCCGCCGGGGGTTTCCCCTCCCAGCTCCCGAGCCGCCTCCTGTGGGCGGAGAGCCCAGAAGCCTCGCGGCCTCCCCGCCCCCTCCCCGCCTC